GTACGCCAACCTCTCGTTGGCAGTTTCAGCCACTGCCCTTTCAGTCCCTCGACGAGTCCGTCACTCTCCTCCCATACCAAATATCCCACCAAACACTCATTTTCACTATATATTCATCTTCTTCCCTCTTCTCAAAAAACCTCCCTTTCTCTCTCTCTCTCTCTCTCTCTCTCTCTCTCTCTCTCTCTCTCTTTTCCATTTGTACTTTCCTCCTAAAATTTTCTCATTCATTCCGCCATGGAAGGAGCTGCAACTGCTCAAGCTTTATCTCGTATTGGGCTAGCTGGTCTAGCTGTTATGGGCCAAAATCTAGCCCTAAACATAGCCGAGAAAGGTTTCCCGATTTCCGTTTACAACAGAACCACTTCTAAAGTTGACGAAACCCTAGATCGCGCTCAACGTGAGGGTCAACTACCTTTAACCGGCCAGTACAATCCGCGTGATTTCGTGCTGTCGATACAACGGCCCAGATCTGTTATCATCCTCGTTAAAGCTGGGGCCCCCGTTGATCAGACGATTGCTGCTTTAGCTGAACATATGGAGCCTGGTGACACGATTATTGATGGAGGTAACGAGTGGTACGAGAACACTGAACGGCGTATTGATGAAGCTTCGAGTAAAGGGCTTTTGTATTTGGGTATGGGTGTTTCTGGTGGTGAAGATGGAGCCCGTAATGGCCCCTCGCTTATGCCTGGTGGGTCCCACGGGGCTTACATGAACATCAAAGACATTCTCGAGAAAGTTGCGGCCCAAGTTGAGGACGGGCCGTGTGTTACTTACATTGGTGAAGGCGGGTCGGGTAATTTCGTGAAAATGGTGCATAACGGGATTGAGTATGGTGATATGCAGTTGATTTCGGAGGCCTATGATGTGTTGAAGAATGCGGGCGGGTTGAGTAACTCCGAATTGGCAGATATTTTCGCTGAGTGGAACCGTGGTGAACTGGAGAGTTTTCTGGTTGAAATTACAGCTGATATATTCAATGTGAAGGATGAGAAAACCGGGAGCGGTGAGCTAGTGGATAAGATTTTGGATAAGACAGGAATGAAGGGAACCGGGAAATGGACTGTGCAGCAGGCTGCTGAGCTGTCAATTGCAGCTCCCACTATTGCTGCTTCGTTGGATAGTAGGTATATGAGTGGATTGAAGGAAGAGAGGGAAGATGCTGCGAGGATTTTTAAGAAGGAAGGATTAAAGGAGGAAATAAATTTTGATGTAAATGGTAGTAGTGTTGATAAGAAGAGATTGATTGATGATGTGAGGCAGGCATTGTACGCGTCGAAAATTTGTAGTTATGCTCAGGGAATGAATTTGCTGAGGGCAAAGAGTGCTGAGAAAGGGTGGAATTTGAATTTGGGAGAGATGGCGAGAATTTGGAAAGGCGGGTGTATTATCAGGGCAGTGTTCTTGGATCGGATTAAGAAGGCGTATCAGAGGAATCCGGGGTTGGCTAACTTGATGGTGGACCCGGAGTTTGCAAGGGAGATGGTGCAGAGGCAAGCCGCATGGAGGAGAGTCGTGGGACTGGCTATCCAGAGAGGAATTAGTGTTCCTGGAATGTCTGCGAGTCTTCAGTATTTCGATACCTATAGGCGATCTAGGCTTCCAGCAAACCTCGTGCAGGCTCAAAGGGACTATTTTGGGGCACATACTTATGAGAGGGTTGATATGCCAGGAGCATACCATACTGAGTGGTCGAAGCTTGCTAGGAAGGCCAGAGTGTAATGCTGCTGCAGCTGTTGCGGATTATGATAAAAATCTGGTATTAGTTGAGCTTTGTCAACTATTGATTCTAAATTGTGCTATTCAGGCATTTAAAATTTAGAATGTGACTTGTTGAGAATTTTTACTTGTTGCTAGTTTTGCAGTTAATAATGTTGTATGCCTTTGAACATTATAGGGCCTTGGCAATTGAATGACTTCTTTATTGAAGTTAAAGAAGTTGCATTTCCTACATTATTCATAAATATTACCTACATTTTATTGATCCATTAAATATGGCTTCTTTAAGGTTCTCCTATCTTTCGGAAACAGCCTCCCTACCCCGAAGGGGTAGGGTAAGGTCTGCGTACACACTACCCTCCCCAAATCCCATTAGTGGGATTTCACAGGGTTGTTGTTATTGTATCTCCAAACTGCTATATCTGATGGTTAAAGATATGATGATATAGCGAGTCGTATGTGTGTGTCTTCAGTGCTCTGCTCCGAAAGTCATATATATGTGTGTACATTGATTTAAACTATTGAACTTAGTAGAGAAGAATAATTTACTGTGAATAGAGCTATGGCTGCAATGGTGAAAGAACCTTAGGGCCGTGGATTAGACAATGAATGCTTAATTGAAAGGATAAACAATAATGAGTATGTGGTCAGGTGGAAAATTGTATATGGCTCCCTTTGATGCTGGATGGAAGAATAGGAAGGAGGGAAGGGAAGGAGATGAGAAGTGGCAGCGGAAGGCAACGGCCTGGTCATTGGAATGGACGCAAGAAGTGGAGGGAGGATGAGAAGAGGCAATACTAAAAGAAAATAGGTTACTTCTAGATAATTTAAATTAATCAAAGAGGCATTGGGTATAAGACCTTCTGAATATCAGAAATTTTAGTATTTTTTTTTCAAATTGAGGCCCCCCACCCAAAAAAAAAAAAGAAGAAAGAAGGGAACTCTTGTTCTTATTGCTCCACAGCTCTCTCTGTTTCTATTCTACCTAAAAAGAAAAATTTTCCTTGACTTCTGCTTTTGCACTTTACTGTGGTCAGTGAGGATTACTATAGCCGATTCCAACTTGTATGGGACTGAGGCGTAGTTGCTTTTGCGCTTCTTACCATTTCTCAACAGTGTTTCTAAGCTGAAATTTGTTACAAATAACATTATTGCTGCTGTCCTATGCATACCATGTCTAACTTTTTCTAGAACCTGCATATCTGCTAGGTTTATACTATTTAAGCAAAATCTTTGTAAACATATTTAAGGTTATTCATTGACATATTCACAGAAAACTGCTGCATTTGATGTAGTTTCTATTTAGATGTTTTCAGATTTTTGTCATTACTTTCAGTAACTATAATTTTGCCCGACTGGGGGCTAAACCATTTGAAATCCTTTAAAATATTCTGGTCGTATGACTAATAAGAATTGGGGTTTGATTCCTGTTCTCTTTTTGATAGTTACAGGATGGTTTTCAAGCAATTCCCATAAATCAAAATACATTTCTCTCACCTCAAGTACAATCAAGACTATTTTACTTAATTTTTCTTTTCTGCCAAGTAGTCGTGCAGTTGTGTCTTTAGTGTGTGTTAATCAATTGTGGAGCAAATGATGGGTACATTGCTCAGCTTGACGTGCTTGTGTGATTGGCATTAAAGTTCTGCAACTGATTTCATCAACATCAAGCTTATTCTTTGAGGGTTTTCACTTATGAATGTGACATTTAAATAAATGCCTTCTCCTACCTTGGATGCTTAAGCTTTTCCGTGCTGATATTCATAGATATCTGTGATATAGATTTTCAATGTCCCATTTTCTCGGTGATGAAAATAAAGTACCCTAGTTAAGTTCTGAATACCAGTGTTCCTCCATTGACAGTTGGCCCTTGATTGATCTCTTATGTAGATGTGCCTCCATCAGGAATTTGTTTGTTCTAGTTTAAAATCAGATATTCTGTCTGCTTCTCTGAAAGAAGTTCAGTTCAATCCTTTGCCGCTCCCTGTCTAGAGTATTGTTCCCTCGTCTTTGCACGTCTGTGTATCATATAGATCTTCAACTTCATTGTTAGTTTTGAAGCTTTGGTGCAACATAAATGACATGCAGTGTAGGGTTGTAATTAATAAAATTCTTATTGACTGCTTCTGGGAGCATCTTGCTTTTGAGACCACTGGGTTAGATTGGTGGTTAACAGTGTTTCATATTTCAGGCTGTTACTATATGATGTTCAGCTCCTTAAATTTGTTGTTTTTCTTCTGCATCGTGGCTGCTAGATTATATTTCACTGAGAAAGAGCTTCATCCGCTTTCTACCATGTCCAGGTTTCCATTTCACTTGACCCTAGTAGGAGTCTTGTGGTGTCTCTAAAAACATTGCATAGTATGCCTTGCTACCCCCCCCCCCCCCCCCCCCCCTTATTTTTTTCTTTTTTCTCCCCCCTTGGAGCTTCAATTCATATTGAAAGTTAAAAACCTTTTTTTAACTTTCATTTTCGACAAAAATAATAAAAGAAAGGGCCAACAGTGTAGTCTACTTACATATTATAGGCATATTAACATAGCCTTCCCTGTCAAGACTGCATCTGATTTTCCCAAATGCCTTTAATTCTTTATACGTAGTTTGAGATGAAGTGTTCCTTGGTTTCTGGTAGTAGTGTCTGTCAATTTGTGGTGTGGAAGTTGGGGGATTGCGGGAGGGGTCGGGTCAAAACTCTGAAGTTCAAGACATGTTAAGTGATAGAGGACGACTCAACCTTTCCATAAGTATGTTTAAATCAATAATAAGTTGGATCAAATTTGATTTAAGTGGCATAACACAACTCACCTAATCAACCAATTTATATAGTTACAATAAAGTAAACATATTATGTTTCACTCTTTCCATTTGTTTTCTCTTTTTAGGATAATTTTTAAGGAGTTTAGCCCAAAATCAACCAGCTCGGTCGTGCTCTTTTGGTTCATCTTGGCCTTTTCATCGCAAATAGTACTCCAAAGCTCAATTAATATCGATTCCATCGTTTTCAGAATATGTTGTGTTTGTTAATAAAGAAAAATAGATGATAACACTACTAGGATACAGAACATAAAATTGCATTTGCTAGAAATTCGTCAACATGCCCTAAGATTTTATCCATAAGGGGAAAACGAAGGCCTCCATCAGAGACAGAACGATTATATCATATTAGTCCAATTAGAATAAACATAAAGATACCTACACTAGCAAATCACCTCCGCAGAGAGCCAATAAACCTTAAGAGAACCACAATTTCATTAATCTATGGCAAGTTAATAAACAAGTAAAATTCAAAGATTTGCTGAGACTTTAATTACGCACCTCAAAACAACTGGCAAGTTAAAAGTTAGTGCAATATCAACACATGAAGCTACTGATTCTCTCAATTTCACTAACACCCAGCAGTGCATATACAGCAGTAGGATACATACAAGCCCATACAACAGTTTCTACATAGGCACTGAACAATCAACCTGTCACTACAATTTAAACCTTTCTGGAAACTAGGCTCGACGATATCTTACAGTTAGCATTCCACCTCTTCTCAAAGCCCCCACTGACATCTAAAAAAGTCCAGTATGGCTGTAGACAAAGGCATTATGTTAGTATCTACGCACTTACTGTCGGATAGTAAGCTCAGCTCGAAGATGGAGAATCCCATTGATGAAGTATACACTATCTTCAGCCATAAAAGCAGTCCAAGGGATGCCAAATAGGTTCCTGTAGCCAACAGCCTTGCCACCAGTGAATGTGTAGTTCCCCTTATACTTGCTCACATATTCCTCGGTTGGCTTTGTCCGAGCTGCAAACTCATAATCCACTGCAAATGACACTGACCCCTTCTCTTGCATGCCTAAAAACAACCCAAAGCAATGGAATGAACTCTGTTGATCCATGTTACAATGAGCTGATAGGAAAAAACCTTGTCCACCCAAATGGAAAGCCTGAGAGTAAACTCTACCAGCAGGAAAGAGACTATTGCACTCTTCCCGTTTTATATCTAGGTAAACAATACACTGCTGACGAGGCAGTTCAAACTCGACAATTTTAACTGGTCTATACTTGTAAGCACGCTCCACAAAACGATGGTGTGAGGCACTGCCCTCCTCAGCAGCAAGAGAACGCTGCCGGTATGGTGCTTCAGCTTTGAAAAATAGAGCCTCTAGGACAACCTTGGAAGATAGTTCAGGATCAAAGTCATTGCAAGTTAGAACTTTCTTCAGCTTCCTGCATGTCATGTACGGAAAGCGAATGAGGCGACAAAGACGTGAGCCCAATATTTCACGTCGTTCCACCAAGTTTGGGTAATGGATGCGAGCCCACTTTAACACAAAGTCATATACAGCATCCTCTGAAGCAACCTGAAGATCGTCATTGGAGAGAACAGCCTCAATTCCTGCAAGAGGCAAGTTCAACACCTCTTCTTGGAACCTGGGAAGGATTTTAGGATAACATTTCAGATGACGAATTCTAGGCCGAAACAATCAAAAACCATATCTAAAGAGTGAACAAGTCTCTGATAAATAGGACAACTTGAAAACACTCTGAAATGTTATACAAGAAGCTCTTTACTAAAGGGAAGACTAGAGGTCCTTTTATTCACTAGTTAGTAATAAAACAAACAGCTAGTTATAAAGCCTCAAAATTAGGCTATGTCAAATGAAGTGTTAAGGAAAAGCAAACTCAGTCTGAAATAGGAATGACGGAATGAAGTTAGTTCATGAAATCGGGATGACAGAATGAAGTGCTCGAGATGAAGAGGAAAACTGAAACTGATGACAAGCCTCTTGTGTTCGTTCACTTTCTATTTCCAAGCAACAGATTTAAGCTCCACATTCAAAATCAATCAACGAGAGTGAGTAATAAAAAAACTACTTCTTGGAAGAGCTCTCACTTGGTTATATCCTTGAAACGTGCAGCGAGAAACTGTTTTGCAGCATCAGTCAGTGGCAGAACTGCATCAGCCATTAAAACACCAGAAGGAAGATCCAAATAAAGCAAGGCTGATTCACAAGTCATGGGAAGATTCCTTAGTAAACGGCTGCAGTGTCTCATGCATGATGCAACCTCAAATTTGTCAGCAGCCATAAGCACGTCAAGCAAGGCAGTAGGCGTTATCGTAGATAAAGTATTGCTATACATAAAATTCAATAGGTCCATGAAGGCAGCTTCTTCTGCGAAAATGATAGAGAAAGGTGGAGGTCAAAGAAGAATATATGTTATATCTAATTAAAGAAACTGTGAAAGAATTTCTTCTTCAAGTATGCTTTAGAAAGCAAAACAAACAGCAGAGCTTGGAGCATGTTTATAACCCCCCAAACATATTTGTAGACAATAAATGTCTCATAAGGATGCTTTTAGGAGTAGCAGACACGATTCTTGATTCTTGATCTGGTGTTCGATTCTTCTACATTTAGATTTTTTTGGATTCAACAAGATAGACAAAATAACGGATACGTTAAGGCATACTGCAAACAAGCACACGGGTAAAAGCATGGTTTATCAGCTCCTTATGGTAACATGTTTTTAAGGTTTAGAATCGTGTTTGGAGTTCAAATGTCAAACCTAAATCATGTACACATTCGGGCAGCTCAAATGTGATTTTTCACATTCACATTGGAAACTGTTTCCAAGTAGCTTTTTTCAGAATGCGAACTCACACTGCTTAACATAAAATAACCTTTGCCCATGATTTTAGATACTCTGTAGGAGATAATATATTATTACTTAGTAATCACATTAACATTTTAGTTTCCAAACACTAACAAAGAACCATCTTTTTTTCTTTTTAACAACGAAAAATATTTTTCAATGTTATATGGAATTTTGTCCTTGTTGGGCATTCAAAAAAAAACGGAAAAGGGCCAAAATTGCCCCTAAACTATTGAAAATGGAGCAATTATGCCCTCCGTTTGCTCTTGGGCACAAAAATACCCTCACCGTTAGTCAAGTGGAGCATATATGTCCCTCTCCACTAACAAACTCCACATCAGCTATAAATTCACTTTAAAAAAGATTTTTTTTGCTGAGTTGGAGCTCCACATCAGATTTGGTTTTTTTTTCATCCAAGATAATTAATGATATCTAAATTACCCATGTCTTTTCCCATTTTCCACAATCAACAGATTAAAAATGCCTTAATCAACAAGTCCTATCAAAGACCTATTGTATAATCAATTATGCTCCTCATTGTTCTCATTTTTGCTTTGTTTCACCATTAACTCATCAAACTTCCATAAACACTGTCGAAAGACCTATTGTATAATCAATTATGCTCCTCATTGTTCTCATTTTTGCTTTGTTTCACCATTAACTCATCAAACTTCCATAAACACTGTCGAAATAGTCATTCCAGAGTTCAACTTCATTGTATTATGCATGTACCACCTGGAGAGATAAACATACAAAGAGAGATTTATTGGTGTTAGAGACTTAATTCGATTCTTTTTTACATTTATTTTATTTTATCCTTCTGCAATTCTCTCCATTTTTTTGTTGTCGTTCTTCACAATCCTTAATTTTCAAGCCTCTATCTCATCTCTCTTCCCGTTTTGAAACCGTTTGCAGAGGTTCAGATCTGGACTTGGTTTTTTCTATACGGGTTCTTTCGGGTTTTTCTATACAGATTTCTGAAAGAAGAAAAAAAAATATATCAAGAAAAAATGGACTCCTCGAGGAGTTTCCGATGAAGTCTGATGGGGCTCGCAGGTTGGGTTTTTCGGGATAAAAGTCTGCTACATAAGGGGCAGTGATGATTGATGAAGAATTGAGATAAGTGGAGAGGGAGGTGGCGGCCAGATATTCTTGATATTAGAAAATTAAGAAATTATATAGAGGGTATTGTTTTCCAAGCTGGAGCTCCAAATCAGCAAAGAAAATACTTTTGAAAGTGAATCTATAGCAGATGTGGAGTCTGTTAGTGGAGAGGGGTATATGTGCTCCACTTGACTAACGGTAAGGGTATTTTGGTGCCCAATAGCAAATGGAGGGCATAATTGCTCTATTTCCAATAGTTCAGGGGTATTTTTGACCCTTTCCCCCAAAAAAATGATATCTTTCTGTATTTGAATCTTTTTTCTTTAGTTTCTAACTTAGTTATGTTATATATCTAACTTATATGTCAAAAGTTTTTATCTTAAACTATAAACCTGATCAAATACCATCTGAAAAATGGAAAGAGAGGGAGTATAAGAATCTCATTTATCAAAATCTATTTAAGAATTCACAGGTGTTCAAATCTATTTTGTCCCCAAGTTTTCAGACAACCGCTTATTAATCTAATGGTTAAACAGCTCAAAAACTCAATATTCATTTAGTGATTGATATGTGTTGCTCTCTAATTGAATATCCCAATTATTGAAAACTTTTTTAAAGAGAAAATAAGTACTGATTATAAGCATCCCGAGCTGATTCATTCCAAGTTTCAAACCCGAACAGTAGTCCGAACAACTATAGGAATATCAAGTTATGTGTACGGTATAAGGGGGAAGTGGGGCGCCCATGTAAGTAGGAGGGGGGAGGGTTTAAGTAACATAGAGCACGATATAGCATAGCCTACAAGTAATTCCAGTAACTTTTAGTGTAACCAAATGGAAAAAGATCTAGATAACAGACACATTTGATGCTCAGAGAATACAACTGTATCCAGATTCTGACATGGGACATTATCTGGTTAATATTATTACCCTATCAGGACGGTTCATTCTAAGGGAAAGGACAATACCATGAAATGAGAACACAAGAAACTACAATTAAAAATGTTATTACTAACCCGAGGCATGGATTTGTACAGTAACATGCCGCTGCTCCGACTCTCTCATGCCGTTGGAGAACATCTAGAAGAAAACAAATAGATGTCAAAAGAAAGAGCAAAAGAAAGTTCCTGACTAAGATATAACAAAGCATTAAAGACTTCTAACCTTATAAAAGAATGGACTCTTTGCGGCCAAAATAGGAGAACTGATGTATATAGTTCTAACTTGACGCCCAGTTGAAGAGTCCATGTTTGTGGACGAGTCAGTGCTCTTAGGAGCTTCACCATCCCCTATAAATTCCGTAAAGTTGTTTCAAAAACCCAAAAAAAAAAGGAAAAAGGAAAGAGAAAAAGACCAATAATAAAAACAACAAACCCAGTGTAATCCCACAAGTGGGGTCTAGGGAGGGTAAAGTGTACGTGGACCTTACCCCTATCTTGTTAAGGTAGAGAGGTTGTTTTCGATAGACCCTCGGCTCAAGGACAAAAGGGGAAAGAGAAAAAGACCACGCAATGATAAAGGAGCTTAATGTTTCACATGCTATTACATTGTAACAAATTCAGGTTTCAGATTATGCACACAAAGGATACATCCATATTCTCCTAAAAGAGTGATAGCCATGTTATTATGATATCTCTTAAGGGCTCGTTTGGTAGAATGCATTAGAGAAAATAATGCATGCATTAGCTTTTGGTATTACTAATCCCTTGTTTGGTACACTTTTCCAACCTATGTATTACTGATGCAAGTATTAGTTATATAACCTATTTAGTATTATCCTATGTATAACTAAACACATGCATTAGCATGGTTAAAGACAAAATTGTCTTTAAAGTCCCTTAAGGCTAAAGAATATGGAGGGCATTTTTGTAAACAACTAATTTTCTTAAAAATTATTCAATGCATTTTAATTTCGGAAAAGGTCCTGATAGATCCCTCTACTATTAGAAATTGTTTCAAATTGTCCTTCGTTATACTATTAGATCAAAATAACCCCTACTGTTTTACTATACAAACATATATACCCTTTATTTGATGGACTGGACACGTGGCACGCGTCCAAGGCTCTTGGTCCATCTGGTCTTAAATTAGACTCGACCCGCTCCATTACCCCAAGACCCAGAACTCAGAACCCATAACCTAACTCTTTTCTTCTTCCACTTTATCTTCTTCTTCCATACCACCATCCCCCTTCACCCAACCACCGCCACCACACTAGGAGCTCCTATCAGATGTGGTTGCAACCTCAGTCCGGGGTTGGAGATTCCTTCTGAATTTCACAAGTTCATCGCTACTTGCACTCTTTGTCGGGTCATTTGTTTCACTAAGCCATTCGAAACGAAAAGAACTAAATTGGATTGTGATTAGCTAGCACGGAATTCTGCAACAAGAAAATTATTGACCCTTACTAACGATGGATGATTGATTTGGATGAAAGAAAACTAGCTTTTGGCGTGGATTCTAGTTCCCTAAAACTAAAGAATTTACTAATCTTCACTCGTTCAGCCAGGAGGACGTAATATCCTATTAAACGGAAGCCACATTATATCTGTTTCTATGAGCAGCCAATATGCCTAAAACTATACGAAAAGCAAGCCCAGTTTTGAGATCACAAGATCTATTCAAATTGAATAAAATTTATGGTCTTAACCTTTCAAATTTTTTAGGAGCATAATAAGATGTCCGCGTTATACAATGCATCGGGAAGTATAAACTAGTAACTGGATTGGAGAAACCAGTGTGATGGAATCTACCATTATATTAAATTTTAGATTTTTAAAGTAAATAACTAATTGTTGTTATACGTAAATTCTTCATCTGAATTTACAGTATTTATTTCTCTCGGCTATAGAGTATTTCAAGCGATTAGGAGAATCCAAAGTATTCAATGTAATTGCCAAATGGAGGTGGATGAATAAAAGACAAAGACGGTGAAAGAATGTTTTCTATGGTGGTCATGGTGGTCTAATGGTGATGGAGGAATTAGTGAATGGTGGAGGAGGATCTCCTAGTGTGGCGGCACCTTTTGGGGTTAGGGTTAGTTTATGGGTCAAATGATTGTGTTTTCTTAGTTATGGGTTCTGGGTCTTGGGTAATTGGGCGGGTCGAGCCTAATTTAAAATGATCAAAAACTTTGGATGCGCGCCACGTGTCCAATCCGTCAAAGAAGGGGCATATGTATTTGAATAGTAAGACGGTAGGGGTTCTTTTAATCCAATAGTATAACGAGGGACAATTTTAAATAATTTTTAATAGTAGAGGGATATATGAGGACCTTTTCCGTTTTAATTTTTAATACACACACCAAACAATGGAAGTGGATAAGAAATAATCTTTGCATAACTAATGCTTGCATTACTAACCCATGCATTACTAATACACCTTATTCAGCACTATTCTTATACACACTACCAAACGACCTCTTAGATTCTTGTTAATATCAGGATCTAATGTTAAAACAGTTAGAATCCTTGAAATAGCAGCACAATGATGGAAACAAGATAGTTTGATCCATAGTGGGGAAGTCCATAGGTACCAGGGTGATCTGTGGTCATCTCAGTGCCGGATGGAGATTCCTCAACCATTGCAACAGCTTCCTCATCTTGGTTCTCATAAGCAAGACCATCTTCTGTGTCCAGCATATTACAATTCAACACCTCCTCCTCACGTTGCGTGAGCACATCCGCATCTGAAAGGTTTATGAGGTGAGAATCCATTAGACTGGAGAAAGTAATTAATAAGCACAAATTATGACAAAACATAAAAATACTGGAAGTTTTCAGATAGGCGACAGAACAAGAAATGTTTCAAGAATGGGGACAAACTCAAGTGCGTGCAGCGGTAGCTCACAAATTTAAGTATGATTTAGAACAACGGAAAATCTTAAGTTTGTTGTTAGACAGAGAATTAAAGTATTTGCCAAACTTTTCAGAAAGACACTTTCAGCGACAAATGACAAGACGATTACAAGATCATTATTTTTTTTTCTTTTTTTTTGTTAGCAAACAAGATCATTGGTATTTAGTGCTCAAGCAACCATATTTGCGAAGGATTTAAGTTATGCACACTATCATTGTATTAAAATGTTTACACTACCAGTAAATTTAACGTGTGATAGCAGGTTAGTTACCATTTTTACCAGATCACTAATTAGTGTTTATCAAAAGAGATTTACTGTAATTACCTAAAAGTGCATAGAACTTAAACTCATTTGCAAATTATCTGAGGATGTTAGTAACTTATGCTGCAGCTACATCTGCTAGATCAATTGCAAGATTTTCATCAACAGTCAACGCTAAAGCAAATTCGTGCAGTTCTATCATTTTAACCTAGCTAAATACCTTCCATTTCAAGTTGTAACTCAGGTTTGCACAAAAAAATAGAAATAAATAAATAAAGTCCTAAATTTTGTATCTTCTCCCTGTAAAGTTTGATATGTAAAAGCCCATTCTTCACATTCATTAATCATAAAAACAAAAACATTAAGCATTTTGATGTGTAAATTGAACCCTTGAAACAAAAAGATAATCAAATTGCACATCTAAGTACAAAATATACATACATGAAATGAATAAAAAGCCAAAATTTGATAAAATAATTGTTTAAAACCCTAACGGAATCAAAAGAGCTAACCATTTTCTTTCTTGATTTCTTCTCTACTACGCTTGCGTTTGCGGGCCCAATCAACGATACTGCTACAACCCTCACCGTCGGATTTGGAGTCAGGAACAATCTCAACTATCAAAATCCGGTCGGAGAAATTGCTGTCATTGAAAGCGAAACCGAAGTCGGATTCCGTACCCGACCCGTAACCAGGAGAGAAATCGGAGTCCATTATTATTGTTAGGGGATCAAAAATGTCGTCGTTCAAGTTTTTCATCCAAATTTTTTATAAGGAAAAAAGAAAAGGTTGAGAGAATATGTGAGGAAAAATATTATTATTGGTGGTGCTCAGTTATGGCTAAGAATGAGTACGTAAGTACGTTGTATACCTTTCTAGTTTGGTACTTAATAGGCTGGTTGGTCAAGCTGCAAAAATGCAAAAATGGTTTTTCTTATAAAAGTGCTAATTAATTTAAAAATTACTTGTGAGAGTCTATTTGGAAAATCACGAGGTAATTGGAAATGGTGTAATTACTAGGCTAGTAATTACATAGTATTGCAATTACGGCGACCTGTTTGTTTGTCATAGTATAATTACAATGTAATTACAAGCGTATTGTTTGGTTGCATAAGTATAATTACATAATTAGATTAAATTTAAAATGAAGTAATTATCAAAACTTAAAAGTTAATATAATAAATATATGCCTATAAATAATTTTATATAAGTATAAATTAACAACTAAAATTAATTATAAGAGAATAGTATAGTATTAGTTTACTTCCTTATAACAACTAAAAACACACGTCTTGTAATTATTAACAGCTAAATTAATAATATTTAGTTTAATTAATTATTTCAACTAAAAACATACGTCTTGTAAGAACATCATGGAATGCATGTTTGATAAATAAATTACTCCTTAATATTTATAATTATAATGTCATAATCTTATTCAAATGTTTGACAAAATTAATCTATCAATTCTAACTAAAAAATGACAACATGCAATGTGAAATAACAAGCCAATACTATTAAAACAAGTAAAGTGGAACCATAAGTATAACACTGTATACGGTCAAAATTAGGGAAGACCGGTTCAAGACTTCTATGGCAGTCCGGGCCCGGCCCCGATGGGATCAAGGCACGGTCCAAGGCCTGTCCAGGAAGCACTCGCCTCGGCAGGGTACGTCGAAGACTCACCATGGTGTACCTCGAGGCCATATGAAAATCGACGACCGTCATGGAAAGGCGGGAAACCCCCCTAGAGCACGTGTTAAGGACTGACAGAATCTGCAAAAATAATATAAATCCATGCTGAGCCGTTGCCCAGCTGGACTAGTAGCATTTATTCTTTATTTATTAGACATGTGCTATGATGAGATTCAATCCTCCTTTATCATTTTGTAAGGCACCTGGATATTGAATAACATACAACATTCTCTACTCTCTTTGCTAAAACTATTGTTCTTCACATTTATTGCTTATTCTTATATTGTTCATTCATTATTCATTTATTGTTCTTCATTTATTGCTCATTATTGATCATAAAAGTCCATCTTCAAGGCCCTCATTACCATTGATTATCTATCAATAGTTCATCGTTATTAGCTCCGTTTAGACCTCGAGGTCCCGCTTCAGCCAGCTTTGTGACTCCATTGGTTTGCATATCTTATTCTCTTTGCTCATACCTAGCATCTACTGCTTAATAACTAGTATTAAAATAAATCACATATTTTTAGAACCACAAAATCAAAGATAATTGTAGTTACCATTTTCAAGGTAAACAGTTTGGCGCCCACCGTGGGCCTAAAAATAATAGTGATTGTTTTGGTGTTAGTTTTCTGAAAACACAAGTTATTCTTCACACTTTTTCTTGTCCAAGAATCTCTGATATCAGGTCAAAATGTCTAACTCAGCACATGCACGCGAAAACAACGGCATGGAGCTTCAGGGAGAAAATGGTGCAGACGCCGATGTACCACTGCAAAATCCAGGGGTAGCACCAGCAGATGCCGGTGTACCACCGCAAAACCCAGGGGAGGCACCAGTACAAATCCCCGTCAACGTAAACTCATGCAACGCTGTGCATGTCTATGTGAGCTCTCATACCAACGAGAGTGTACGCGGGGAGGAAAGAGAAATTAGCCTTCAAATCATTTTCGAAATGTTGCAAGCACAACAAGTGGCTATTGCTCAGCTACAAAGTCACCAAAAAACCCCAAGCACAGTAGCACCTGAAACGGATCCTCAGGTCGAGCAGGTACCGGAAAGATCGAGTAACAACGGGTCAGCAACAGACCCCGCTATTATGAAGATGCTCGAGGACCTCACCAAGAGGATTGAATCGGGAGAAAAGAAGATAGAAGATAACGATAAAAAGGTGGAGACTTATAACTCGAGGGTCGATCAGATTCCGGGCGCACCTTCGATCCTGAAGGGCGTAGATTCGAAGAAATTCATATAGAAACCATTCCTACCAAGTGCGACTCCGAAGCCCATCCCGAAGAAATTCAGAATGCCTGATGTCCTGAAATATAACGGGACCACGGACCCCAATGAGCACGTTACCGCCTACACTTGTGCTGTAAAAGAGAATGACTTAAAGGACGACGAGATCGAATCCGTCTTGCTGAAGAAATTTGGAGAGACACTGTCGAAGGGGGCCATGATGTGGTACCACAACCTACCCCCGAACTCGATAGATTCGTTTTCCCTGCTGGCAGACTCTTTTGTGAGGGCACACGCTTGTGCCATTAAGGTCGCCACCAGGAAGTCCGATGTCTTCAAAATCAAGCAGAGAGAAAACGAGATGCTAAGGGAATTTGTATCCCGCTTTCAGATGGAGCGAATGGAATTACCACCAGTCTTTGACGACTGGGCAATACAAGCCTTCACTTAGGGCTTGAACGAGCTAAGCTCCATAGCTTCGAAGCAGCTAAAACAAAATTTGGGCGGACGTGCATAACAGATATCAATCAAAGATTAGGGTCGAAGACGGCCAATTAGGGGCCCCTTCGGGCTCGGTATGTGATAACTAGGGATTTTGACGTGTTTCATGCTCCTTCTTGCTTACGCTTTGATTATAAATTCTTACAAAATAGTCCCAAAAGGCTCAAAAGTTGTGCTTGATTGCAGGTTTGATCAACAAAGTGACGAGATGTCAAAGATCGGCTCAAAAGGAGTGAAACCTGCACAAGTACCAAAGACAAGACAACTCAGGACAAACAGGCCTAGTGCGGCCGCACTACACTTTGTGCGGTCCGCACTAGGGAGATTCAGAGACCTGGATTTTAAGGCATCAAAGCAGTGCGACCGCAGTAGATACTGTGCGGCCCGCACTGAAGACACCGCGACCGCACTACCATTTTATGCGGTCCGCGGAAGCAAACTTCAGAGAGATGTCAAGTGCCAAGGTTCAAGCCTGTGCGGTCCGCGGTCGTGTTTGTGCGGACCGCGATAGATGCCTCCCCGGCCGCACTCCATTCTGTGCGGTCCGCGGAGCCTGGGTTCAGAGAGTTGATTTTTCAGAGTCAAGAGCCTAGTACGACCGCACACCATTTTGTGCGGTCCGCACTGACCCTGCAGGGGCAATTTTGTCCAGTTTTTCCAGCTTAGTATAAATAGAATATTTTTCCATTTTTAGGGTATCAGATATTAGAATACTGTAGCTGCGCTCGTGGGAAGATATTTCTTAGCCATTTTTGGCATCTTTACGTAGTTTTAATCATTGAAACTTTGTATTTACTTTAGTAATTAATTAATATGTCTTTCTCTTCATCTATTTCTCTGATTTTATCTTCAAGCATGAGTAGCTAAACCCATTAGCTAGGGTTGTGGCTCAACCCTAGTGTGGGTAATTGATAGGTGTTGTGATTTAAGGTTAGATTGATTATGGGTGTTTGTTATTTGGGTCAATTTTATGGTTTAATTTATGAATTAGTGGTTGCAAACACTAGTTTGTGCTAAGTTGACTTACGCTCTTCTTGAGAAAGAGAGCCTAAGTCTCCAAAATTGACTCAACAAGGAATTGGGATGGACTCAAGAGATTTGATAGTCCCGATTAAAGGGTTGAACCTCGAGAGAGTAATTACCCGACTTGAAACCCTAGTTGCTTGGGCAAATGTGCATACCTAATTGGTCTCGAGAGAGTCAATTGGGCAAAACCACTCTTTTTCTACCGAGAGGTGTAGGGTGGGTAGTATCGAGCAACGGTTAAAATATATTTCCCCAATCATGTCAATCGTGCCTTAGATGCAATTACCCGTCAATTAGCCACCTAGGTGAAGGTCACTACCCTAGTGCCTTTTAAACCATTAGATACAACTTATAGCAATTTACTCTTAGTCTAATTTAGTTGCAATTATAATTTGTAGTTTGATCATAGTAGAATATAAAGAAAACCCCAAAAATTATGAGAAGTGTAATTAAGAACACATACGCGATCCTAAGCTAAACAGATACTCGATTCCAATCCTAGCTCTCTGTGGATTCGATCCCGACCCACAAATCGGGTAAAAGCTATTGCGACCCTCTCTCGCTACTTTTTAGTGGTGCAGAGTTGGCAGCGATCAGTTTTTGGTATGCATGGACTACCGGAAACTGAACAAGGTGACCCACAAGGATCATTTCCCTTTGTCATTCCTTGACCAAATGCTTGATCGCCTTGCGGGGCGTGCCTTTTATTGCTTTTTGGATGGATATTCGGGGTATAATCAAACTAATCGCTCCGGAGGACCAAGAGAAGACCACCTTTACTTGTCCATATGGCACCTTTGCTTTCTCTCGGATGCCGTTCGGGTTGTGCAATGCTCCGGAGACCTTCCAACGATGCATGATGGCTATTTTCACCGATATGGCGGAAGATATTTTGGAGGTCTTTATGGATGATTTTAGTGTGGTTGGTGATTCATTTGAAGAGTGTTTGGGAAATTTGGATTGAGTTTTGGCCCGGTGTAAAGACACCAACCTTGTACTAAATTGGGAAAATGTCACTTTATGGTTGAAGAGGGCATAGTGTTGGGCCACAAAATTTCAAAGCATGGGATTGAAGTAGACAAAGCCAAGATAGAGGTAATTTCAAGGCTTCCTCCCCCCACTTCTGTCAAGGGGGTGAGGAGTTTTCTTGGGCATACGGGGTTCTACCGGCGATTTATCAAGGACTTTTCGAAGGTAGTGAATTCTCTTTGCAATTTGCTAGAAAAGGATACAAAGTTTGTGTTTGATGAGAGATGTATGGAAGCATTTGAGCTTCTCAAGCTTAAGTTAACCACTACCCCGATCATTACCTCACACAATTGGAGCTTGCCTTTCGAGCTCATGTGTGACGCGAGTGATGTTGCGGTTGGGGCAGTTTTGG